GCCATGCCCTGCTGCCGCCCTGCATGTAGCTGCCGGGCATGCGGCTGCCCTGCCCGTTGCTGTCCCCCCTGCTGCTGCCCTGCCTGCCACATCCAATATGCCTGCTGCTGCCATGCCTGCTGCTGCCCAGCATGCTGCTGCCCCACCTCCTGCTGCCCTGCTGGCTGCTGTCCTGCCTGCTGACCTGTCTGCTGTCCTGCCTGCTGACCTGTCTGCTGTCCTGCCTGCTGACCTGTCTGCTGTCCTGCCTGTTGCCCTGCCTGCTGCCCTGCGTGCTGCCCTGCCTGTTGCCCTGCCTGCTGCCCTGTCTGCTGCCCTGTCTGTTGCTGCCCCTGCCGCTGCCCACCTATCTGTTGCTGCCGTCTCTACCGTTGCTTTCCCTGTTTTTGCCGTCTCGGCTGCTCTCCTTCTCCTTGAGTTTCACGTCGCCGGATTCTTTAAGACGGGCCCCCAGACGTACTTCTGTCAATAATTTCTGTTGCAGCTTCTTCCAAATCTGGCACTTGTTGTTGCAGATTCAGGCGTGACAGCTTGCGCAAACGACTCCGGACAACAGCTGCGATACTTCTTGGGCCCGCCGTATTCACGGTCCCCTGTTGAGTACCCTGTTGCTGCACGCCTTGTTGGTGATCATGGCCCTGCCTGTTCGCCCGCAGCCCAACTGCATCCGCCGATGCTATGGTTTCCCCCCCTGCAACTGGCATTGCTCTAGATACAGCCGATGGCACCCCTGCTCCTTGTGAAGCTGATGTCGACGCTAGGCCCTCTGATGCAGCTGCCTCCTCCCTGTGCTGCTGCTGCTGCTGCTGCCCCTGTTGCTGCTGCTGCTGCTGCTGCAGGTGCTGCCCCTGCTGCTGCTGCTGCCCCTGCTGCTGCTGCTGCTGCTGCCCCTGCTGCTGCTGGTGCTGCTGCTGCTGCTGCTGCTGCTGCTGTCCCCCCTGCTGCTGCTGCTGCTGCTCCCCCTGCTGCTGCTGCTCCTCCCCCTCCTGATGCTGCTGCTGCTGTTGCTGCTGCTGCTGCTGCTGCTGTTGCTGCTGCTCCTCCTCCTGCTGCTGCTGCTGCTGCTGCTGCTGCTGCTGCTGCTGTTGCTGCTGCTCTTCCTCCTCCTGCTGCTGCTGCCCCTGCCCATGCCCGTGCCCCTGCCCTGCTTTCTGCTGCCTTCCCCTTCGCTGCTGCCTCTGCCCCCGCTGCCCCTTCGGCTGCCCCTTCTGCTTCCCCTTCTGCTTCCCCTTCTGCTTCCCGTGCCGCTGCTGCTGCTGCTGCTCCCCCTCTTGCTGTTGACTTCCACTTTGCTGCTGTGGCTGCCGCCTCCCTGCTCCCTCCTCCTCCTGCCAGTCGCTTCCTTCAGAATCTGATGTGAGGGAATACTCCGTATCCTCATCGCCCGCAACTCCTTGTTCTACTCTCCCAGCGGCACCCTCTTCCTCATCTCCATTCCGTCGTGCTCGAGCTTCCATCGTACGTACAGCTGAACAACGAATCCCTTCACGATGTAGCTCTCCACACGCGCTGCACTTTGACACGTTTACCTCATCCATCGCAATTGTGCATGTTTGCATATCAATATGAGCCTGTGGTGAGTGCCTCTCTTCCCATGCTGCCCGTTGTGCCGCCCGCAACTCACATGTGCGCACATTATGACCTTTCTCACCACACTTCCCACACTTGCGCATCTTATCACCATCCACCTCACCAGAACTTCTGATACGTGTCTCACGTGGACGCCCTGGCCTCTTTGGGTACGAAGGTGGCTTGGTGGTGTTGTCTCGAAACGCCTCGGTAGGGTCGAGCGGGACAACAGGGGTATTGTATACATTTTTAAGAGCCTCCACTTTGTAGTAGCGGTCCACTACTTGATGAGCCTTCTCCGGTGTGGACCTGTAGACAGCATAAAGGTGTACACATGGGAGGCCGTACTCCCTACACAAAGGCGGGTTGTACAAGGGGACACACGGTAGAAGGGAGGATCATTTGAGAATGTTTCCAAGAAGTACTTTCACATAACATATGTTTGAACAAATGTTTAGTCACTGACGCATGACCTACCTTGGATACCCGCAGCTGCATGTGCTGGCCTCAGGGTGACTAGCGTATGTCGTGACGCGCCGTGTCTCCCGTCCAGTCGTGCGGGTCACCTTGAAGGTCTGCTCCACAACCCGTTCTCCAAACTTCTCTACCGCCGTCTCTCCTGTCTGGTCAGCCGTATACGACATTCCATACTTGGCGTTTTCGCGAATGATGTTCACAATATTCTGTGGCAGCTGATCATTAGCCATGGTCTCGAATGCCTCATGCCGCTTGAATGTTGACACCCCCTTCCTCCCAATCACTACTAACAAAACCTGCGCCGGACTCTTTCTCCTCAAGCCCTTCAACATGGCATGACTGGACTCTACAGGGTTCGAGCTGTAGCAACCATAACGAGCAGCCCCAAATCTGGTGGTGGCCCATTTTCTAGACAGCTCATCTTTTGTCAAGTAGACAACCCCCCCGGGACACTCTTTCTCGATCTTCATTAGGTACTGTGCAAACACCTCTGCAGTCAAGGCACTAGCAGCATGCTCAATCTTGCCATCAAGGGTTGACCGGAACTTAGCATTGAAGTTCCGAACTATGTGAGTGACGCAAAAGGATTCCCTTGCGTTTGGAAAAACCTCACGCGTCGCAGCTGCCCATCCTCTGCCCCGATCATGCATGATAATAAAACCCTCAGTGTTAACTTCTGGCACGGCCTCCAGTAAGAGCTGGAAAATGAAACAGCATGCTTCTTTTGTCTCACCCTCAACCCATGCAATCCCAAGATGCACAAGCTTGTGCTCACAATCAAGAGCACAAAGGTTAAGTGTTTGTCCGCCCCACCTTGTCTTGTTATGACAGCCATCCGCAAACACTATTGGGAAACCGTTCAACAATGCAGTGCGAGCTCCGGGGAACACTAACCCAGCACGAAAAAACTTGTCCCCATCCTTCACCATGGACACTCGCGACGTAGGGTTCAGCTCCTTAAACATGGACAATAGCATCTCAAAATACTCAAATCCCTCGTCCCCCGACAAAACATCTTCCTTTTCAAGTTGAAGAAGTGCACGACGTGCTACGTTGTATGAACATGAGACGCCATAAACCTCCTTCACCTTATCTCTCAAACCACTAGGACTCATCGTGCCATGCGCGACAAACTCACGGGCGATCTCCTTGACCTCTTCCACATTAATCCGAGCAGGACATACAACATACATATCGGCATGCTCTAAGTGAAGCTCCCTGATCTCAATCTTCCCCTCCCTAGGCCCTCGCGCATAAATACGGAATGGACAGAAACCGTCCGGAGCAGGCACACCCGCAGCGGGCCACGCAACCCCCTTCATACACAGACAGCGCACATCAACACAATCAGCTCTGTTATAGTGAAAGTGAGGTTCGAACCTTTCCTGACGAGCATACTTGCGAATATGCCTACGCGCCTCATCGACGTTCGCAAACACATGGCCCATTGACAAGTTGAGCTCACCCCGGTTCTGCACCAACACACTGCGGAGAAAATGGAACACGGCAGATTAGAAATAGATGGTAAACAAATACATATAATCATGGAAGTACACACAGAGATGGAAGACGGTAAACAAACGAGACATGAAAATGTTGCAACCAAAGCTACATAATGCGTAAACGATGCATGCTTTGGCATGGCGCATTTGCGGGCTGCGCCATGCCTTGGCTGCATGGCGCAGCGCCGATTGCGGCGCCATGCCTTGGCATGGCGCATTTGCGGGCTGCGCCATGCCTTGGCTGCATGGCGCAGCGCCGATTGCGGCGCCATGCCTTGGCATGGCGCATTTGCGGGCTGCGCCATGCCTTGGCTGCATGGCGCAGCGCCGATTGCGGCGCCATGCCAAGGCATGGCGTATTTGCGGGCTGCGCCATGCCTTGGCTGCATGGCGCAGCGCCGATTGCGGCGCCATGCCTTGGCATGGCGCATTTGCGGGCTGCGCCATGCCTTGGCTGCATGGCGCAGCGCCGATTGCGGCGCCATGCCAAGGCATGGCGCATTTGCGGGCTGCGCCATGCCTTGGCTGCATGGCGCAGCGCCGATTGCGGCGCCATGCCAAGGCATGGCGCATTTGCGGGCTGCGCCATGCCTTGGCTGCATGGCGCAGCGCCGATTGCGGCGCCATGCCAAGGCATGGCGCATTTGCGGGCTGCGCCATGCCTTGGCTGCATGGCGCAGCGCCGATTGCGGCGCCATGCCTTGGCATGGCGCATTTGCGGGCTGCGCCATGCCTTGGCTGCATGGCGCAGCGCCGATTGCGGCGCCATGCCTTGGCATGGCGCATTTGCGGGCTGCGCCATGCCTTGGCTGCATGGCGCAGCGCCGATTGCGGCGCCATGCCTTGGCATGGCGCATTTGCGGGCTGCGCCATGCCTTGGCTGCATGGCGCAGCGCCGATTGCGGCGCCATGCTCGTGTAGGGAACTATAGGCGCACACAACAATGACTACGATGTGAAGACCACGGGTCGGGGACATACCTATATGGGGCGCTGCGCACCATTGTCGACAGATCAGCGTTCACCAGGGTGACTACTAACTTGGTGTTATGATCTGTTGGTGTGATTAGGGTTAGGAGGTAGCGGGACGATTTGGGTAAGGGAATTGGGTTGGGAACTACAGAAATTGGTTGTGTTGTACGTTCAAATCTGAGTCATACAGGGTACGTACGGTGTACATCGCGGATGTTCTGACGAGTTACCAGTTGGGATTTTGGAATGCACTGTTCATTACCATTCTGGAAATAATGTTGACCAAACTGGCACGTTGGTTACCATGGAGGCAATCGGAAGATACTTTAGTTACGATTTGGACACGTGGCTTACCTTGCGTGCGATCGACCCCAATGAGTGTTACCGCTAAGATAAATGCCCAAAATATATTGCGGTGGCTGTCGACGAATCCGTGCCGTACATCCGTGCCTTCTCCGCCGTGCACTCCGACGCTGAGAAGATGAGAAGATGGCTCCCATACATGCCATTGGTGGCTTTGCGTAGCTGGTATTGCGTTCACTGAGCTCTGGCTGACAGCTTGCAATGACCGTGTTGACCTCATCGTGCCTCACCCTTGCCTTCTCGGCCATGTACTGAACTTGAGATGAGATTGGTGCCGTAATTCACTCGTGAGGGAAATCCAATTTTGAATCTGTACCACAGATCGCAGTAATCTCGAAGGTACCTACCGCAATCCCAACCGTTCGAAACACGTGTCGTCCGCTTCTGAGATGGGAACAAACAGCCGCAGCGCAAGTAAATCTTGCGTGCGGATGTGCAAATGGGTTGGATGGGATGAAAATGTTGATTTTGTGCGAAACGATTTTGCGTGTGCGAATTGACGACAGTTCTTATCCCTTGCAACCCGCCTGAGCCATCACGCTAAATGTTGAAGCCCAACCCTAATATGCGTTAGACAAATCGTATTCGTCTCAATTCAGAAAGTAAGACGCTAGCTACTCGCCGCAATTATCGCGAAAGCGCATTCGCCGCAAACATTACGAAGGATACACTAGTCAGTGTGGTCGCAAAGGTGAGCGAAGCCACCTCACCACGGAGCGCCTCAAGTCGTCGCGCCTCCCCTCCCCTGGTAGCTCCCCCCTTGGTCGCGCTTCCCCTCCCATCGTTGCGCTGCCACCCCTCGTGAAGCCTCTCCTCCCCGCCTCGCAACAGCACCATCGTTACGCCGAGTCCTCGTCGCGCTTACCCCCACCCTTCCCCTTCGTAGCGCCTCCCCTCCTTTCGTCGCGGCTCCCCTCCCCTCGTCGCGCCTCCCCTCCCCTCAACGCGCCAGCACCCCCATCGCGCTACCCTCTTCGCGTCTCCTCTCTCATCGCCCTTCTCTCACCTGCCCATCCCTTGCCTTCCCTGCCCTGCCATTCCCTCTTGCTACGTTCCCTACATCCCTCCATGGCTGGAAGGATCTCTATTTATGTAACAACCACGGCCCTTATAACAACGGGCAACCGTGTGTTAAATATAAAATCCTCCTTGACAACTTATATAAAATCAAGATACAAGGCTTGAAAGAATCTAGCTAATCCCACCAAGGGATAACCAAGCCTTAAGCTAAGCTTGGTAGATCTTGAGGAGAGAAGTTGTAGTTGCTGATGAAGCCTTAGCAAATAGAGAGCTTCTTGTAGAACTTGTTCTTAGGAAATCACAATCCTAATTGTGTAGGTGAGCTTGTTAGGAGAATCCAAGAACTTAGAGAAATCCCATTTCCAAGTTAGATTGTTGGAGTTGGGAAGTGGGAATGGGCCTTGGAAGCTCCAACCCCTTCCACAATACCCCTTGGGGCTCTTCCCAACCATGGCTTCCATGGTTGGTGAGCTAGGAGGCTTGGAGCCTAGGTGGCACATTTGTTTGGTTGGGAAAACCCAACTTAATTGTGTTGTATGGTTGTTTTGTGTTTGGTTGGATTGTAACCACAACTGGCACAATTTGATTGGTTGGGAATCCAACCTTTCCAATCTTCACTTTGATGGGTTGGAAGTTTCCAAGCCTCAAGGTTGAGGTTTGGAACAACCCAAACCAACCTTCCCCTCCAACTCAACCTCTCCGTTTCCCATCGCGTCATTTCCCATCGAGCATTCTCTCGATGTTGACTTAGGAAACTAGAGGTAGCTAGGCAGGGTAGGTCATGCGTTACAATTTACATTTTCTCACATCCCCCCCACAGCCTACTTCTCCTCACTTCTCCTCCTGCTTCCACGCATTTCCTCCTGATTCCCGTCAATCACCCCCTGCTTCCCCTCATTTCTTGCTTCCCCTGATTTTTCCCCGTTCTTCCCCTCTTTCCCCCACTGCTTCCCCCCCCCCCTGCTTCCCCTAATTTTCACCTCTGATTCTCCTAATCTCTCCCCCCCCCCTCTTGTTTCCCCTCATTTCCCCCCTTGCCTCCCCTGATTTCTCCCTTGCTTCCCCCCATTTCCCCCCTGCTTCCCCTGTCCCCCCACCCCCCCCTCTGTCTTCCCTCATTTCCCCCCTTTCTTTCCCTGATTTCCCCCCTTACTTCCCCTCATTCCCCCCACCCCCTGCTTCCCCGCATTTCCCCCGCTGCTTCCCCTGATCCCCCCCCTGCTTCCCCTCATTTCCCCCTCTGTGTCCCCTCATTTCTTGCTTCCCCTTCCTTCTTTCCCTCATTTCCCTTGCTGCTTCCCCTGATTCTTTCTCTCTTCCCCTCATCTCGCCCCCTGCTTCCCCTCATCCCCCCTCCAGCTTCCGCTCTTCTTACCCTCAAATTTTCCGCTACTTCCCCTCACTTTCCCAGTCCGAGACTTTACCGCCCACCATCTCCCAACTCGTCCAATCTCCTCCCTTCCCTCTCTCCCCTCTTCCCTCACTCCCCTCTTCCCTCACTCCCCTCTTCCCTCTCTCCCCTCTTCCCTCGCTCCCCTCGTCCCTCTCTCCCCTCCTCCCTCTCTCTCCTCTACCCTCTCTCCCCTCTTCCCTCTCTCCCCTCTTCCCTCTCTCCCCTCTTCCCTCTCTCCCCTCTTCCATCTCTCCCCTCTCCCCTCTTTCCCTCCCCTTCCCTGTATCTCCTCTTCCCTCTCTCATCCCTTCTTTACCCTATGCCCCTCTCCCTAACTCCTCCCATCCCTCTCCCCTCTCTTCTCGTCCCCCCCAGGTTTCAGAGGTTGAGGGATGTCCAAACGCACGACCACGGGTTCATGCCTAGCGTGTTATACAGCGCGTAAGCGTTGACCTGAATCGGCGCATGTTGGTCACACTGAAGATCCCGGTCGTCACACGGGGCTCGTGCAGATGTCCTTAGGCAGGGCTTCTCCCCTGGCGCCGAGCCAAGCGTGTCTCCCGCCGCGCGCTGGGATGGCGGGCAGTAGTGCGTGCTGCACGAGGTGACTCGCTTCCACACCCTCGCCGCCATCCCCATCCGCTATGCCGCCCAGGTGTGCTACGCCTCGCTCTCCTCGTGCCCCACTTAAATATTCTCGTCGTTACCGCTGTGTCTCGTGTGTTTCCCTCACCTCTGCCTTTCTGCGCGGAACTAAAGCATTGCTCTCCGCTGCTATCAGTCCGATGATCTATGTCTCTCGCATCTCGCTGTAGAAGGTTCTACTCCTGCAATAGCTGTGTTTGGCCTTCCTGAACACCCACATGCCACATGAGCACGCAATCAGTGCATCGCATCGCAGCATGCTCGCGTCAGTCTGTGCAAGATGCTTCCTCACCCGCCCTCCCGCCGTCTAGCATGCCCGCCTCGTGTGCACCTCGTCACTCTCCTTCCTGCCGATCCTTCCCAAGCGCACGCCCATTTTCTGCATCGAATCGAATCATTTCATGCACGCATCCTGTGTCCATCCCTCCACACTCATGTGCTGCCCACCGTGCGCGGTGTGTGCGAGCAGGTGTGTGGCGAGCAGGTGTGTGGCGAGCAGGTGGCGGGCATCAAGAAGGCGAACCGCATTTCGGCGGATCCGCAGATGTTCGTCACTATTCCATATCTCCCTCCTTCCATATCTCCTTCCTGTCACATTCTCCCCCTTCTCTGTCCACGGGATTCCATGGTGTGCCATCACACCATGTTCTTTAATCATTACCTTTTTCTCATTCCCCCTTCCCCCTCCCTCGGGTTCTCTTCGGCCCCTTGATTATTTCAGTGACTGCTCTGAAGATCTTTCAAGCTTCAACTTGCCTCACCCCACCTTCCCATGACATGGTCGTTGAGTGTCAAAGCAGCTGGTAAACTCTTAGAGAAAGGTTCAATAGTATAGGTGGGTTGGGTATTGCTCCTCTTGGCCTTAGGGAGCAATCAAAGTGAATTGAGAACAATTATCCATGCATCAATTTTACTGCTGAGATCCGGGTACAGAGTGGTCATTGTGATGCATCTCTCTAACATTACAACAACACAGAACGAAGGTGCGGTGAACCATTCACTTGCTTAATCAACTCCGTTGTTCCTCAGAACTTTTAATGAATTGCCATAACGTGTGTTACTGTATGGTTCCCAGATCATACCATAAACGGTGAGGAAGTTTCAGCACGCTGATCTTGCTGGCGTGGCTGCTCTGCCGCTCTGCCAACCAACTTCCCTACCACTTGTCGTGGCGACCCCTCAATCCTCAGAAGTTCAATCTGCCACGTCAACAGTGGTCAGGTTTGGCGTGGCATTGTTTCGACGAAGCATCTTTCGAACGAGCGGCTGGTGGAAGAAATGTCGTCGTCGGCGAAATGTGTCGTGCGGCCCAGCAAGCGAATAATGTGTTTTCGATGTAAGCTAATTTCGCAGCGTCGCAACAACGGTCGCCATTCTCGGAGTTCGTCGCTTGCAATCTGCAACTAGGCACCGCCTCGCCTACCCTGCTCCCCCCACTGCCGCAATCTAAAAATACCTCCTCACATAACCCTTCATCTCACTCGTCCGTCGTTTCTCTGCTTCCGCACAATCCACCACACCCTCATTTGAGCGAGCCAAGGTACCACCGCTACATGTTCGGGTGTCCAGCCATTGACTATGTCGCTCGTTTCGTTGGAACCCGCATTGCGGCTGGTTACCCGACCGGACACCATCACTCAACCTCTCTCTGCTAACCAGCGCCTGTCGACCGGCGCTTCAACTGTTACATGTCAAGCTAGTGCCGAATTCGCGAATGCCGCGACACTTCGCGAATCCGTGCGAACACAAGCCGCGGATTCCATCTCGAGTACCCGCAACGTTACGTCTAACCCGAACGATGACGTCAGCGTGACGAGACGCGCCGTGCTGTCGTCGCTCGCATTGCTGCCGGCGCTGGATTCGCTCTTCGGTTCCGGAAACGGCGGCGCCGACGAGGCAATGGCGCGGGAAAGGCGGACGAGGATCGACATTCCCGAGGAGATGTACCAAGAGGGCGGTGAGTGCGAAGGGCGGTGAGTGCAGAGGGCGGTGAGTGCGGAGGGCGGTGAGTGCAGAGGGCGGTGAGTGCGGAGGGCGGTGAGTGCGCAGGGCGGAGAGTGCGCAGGGCGGTGAGTGCAGAGGGCGGTGAGTGCGGAGGGCGGTGAGTGCGGAGGGCGGTGAGCGCGCAGGGCGGTGAGTGCGGAGGGCGGTGAGCGCAGAGGGCGGTGAGCGCAGAGGGCGGTGAGCGCAGAGGGCGGTGAGTGCAGAGGGCGGTGAGTGCGGAGGGCGGTGAGTGCGGAGGGCGGTGAGTGCGGAGGGCGGTGAGTGCGGAGGGCGGTGAGTGCAGAGGGCGGTGAGTGCAGAGGGCGGTGAGTGCAGAGGGCTGTGAGCGCGCAGGGCGGTGAGTGCGGAGGGCGGTGAGCGCAGAGGGCGGTGAGCGCAGAGGGCGGTGAGCGCAGAGGGCGGTGAGTGCGAGAGGCGTCTGAGGGACGGCGGATAGCTCGGTGCTTTCTGGGCTGCTTCACTCGCCCAACGCTCCGTGCGGCCATCCCAGCGCTGCTGCTCGCACTCCAGAGTAGCGCCAACAGGCGCAGCACACGCACCACACCACGCGCGGGACATTCATTCCCTCCCATCCCGTCTTCCTCTCCCCCTCTCTTCCCTCCCCTCCCCTTCCCCCCGCCGGTGTGTGGGTGCGGCAGAGAGCGGCTTGCGCTTCTACGACGTGGCGGCGGGCAAGGGCAGGCTGGCGGAGCAGGGCGACCCCGTCGTGGTGAGGGGGGGCGAGGGAAGGGGGGGGAGGGGAAGGGTGGGACGATGGGGCGAGGGGGGAGAGAGGAGGGGGAGGAGAGACGAAAGGCACAACATGCCAGGCGTGCGTCACTGCTGCACAGCTCATGCAAGTGCAGCCATGCTGCTCCAGGACAAGCAAATAAGCGGTTTCGCTCCACATGCACGCGCGTCTCAGCTCGCCCGCCACACCCCTCCCTCCTCTACCCTCCTCACGCTTCTCCACGCATCGTCCCCACTCCACTCCACCACGCCGACTGTCACACACTTTCCGCTTTTCCGTCCCACCCTCCCGACTCTCACTCTCCCCACGATTCTCTTCCCCAACCCCTCCTCACCCCTTCCCCCCTCCCCCCTCCCCACTCCCCCCAGGTGCATTTTGACGTGACCTATCGCAGCCTGATGGTGGTGTCCACCCGCCAGTCCAAGTGTGTTCTCAGTCAACCCTCTCCTCCTCCCACGCCTCCTCCGGCCCTCCCCCCTTCCCCTCCCCCCCTCTCCCCCCCCCCAGGTGCACTTTGACGTGACGTATCGCAGCCTCACGGTGGTGTCCAGCCGTCAGTCCAAGCTGCTGGGCGGCAACCGCGTCATCTCCCAGGTGCGCCCGCAGAATCATATCTTCCATGCAGCCAAATCATATCGCAGGGCAACGGAGTCGTGTCGCAGGGTGGTCATTCTCTACCTGATGAGCAACACAGTGATAAACCATCGGGCCCCGTTGCTCATTGTAACATCGTTTCCGTTTTATCCAGCCCTTGACTGTGCGTTCTTCCTCTCACTCTAGCTTTCGGCAGGCCTGCTCCCCCTTCGAATCCCACCCCCAACCACCACGGGCTCTTCCTTTTCACTTCCTCACTGCCCCACCCCACTCCTCTTGCCACAAACGGGCCCTCTCCAATCCGCCCCTCCTGCTCCCCTTCCCTTCTCCCCCCCTCTCCCCCCCCCCAGGTGCTCCCAGCTTCCTCCAAGTTCCCCCTGGGCGGCAAAGCCAGGCACGGAATAGAGAGATAATAGCATCCACTTCTCCCTCCCCCTTCCCACTCCCCCTCGCCCCCAGCCATACGAACTTTCACTCGGCGCCAAGCCGGGCGAGGAGAGGAAGCGGGGAACGAAGTCCATGCCACTCACCCTACTCACACGTTTACACTCCTCCCCCCCCCTTCCCCTCCCCCCCCAGCCGTACGAGTTCTCCCTGGGCGTCAAGCCAGGAGCGGAGAAGAAGCACGACAACGCAAGTCCACACCACTCATCCCGCTCGTTCTTATCCACTTTTTCCCCCCATACTCCCCCCACATCCCCACACCCCCACCTCTCTCCCCCAGCCATACGAGTTCTCACTAGGCGCCAAGCCGGGCGCGGAGAGGAAGCGTGAGTACGCGGAGTCGGCCAACGGGCTCTTCTCCGCGCAGGCGGCTCCCAAACCGCCCCGCGCGCTCTACAGCGTGGTGGAGGGCATGCGCGAGGGCGGCAAGGTGAGGGAAAGGGGGTGAGGGCGGCAAGGTGAGGGAAAGGGGGTGAGGGCGGCAAGGTGAGGGAAGGGGGGTGAGGGAGAGAAGCACCCCGTGTCGCCCAATACACTTTCAGGAACTTGGGCAAAACAGTGCAGTACATGAGAGCCACACCTGCTGGGCAAAACAATGCAGTACATGCGAGCCACACCTGCTTGGGCAAAACAGTGCAGTACATGCGAGCCACACCCCGCGCATCCCTACTGCTTTCATTCTCTTCTTGCATCCCCTCATCCTTGCATCCCCTCTTATTTCTCTCACTCCCTCGCATCTGCTCTGTCTCCCCCACAGCGCACAGTGATTGTGCCGCCGGAGCAAGGTTACGGTGACAAGGGCTTCGCTGAAATCCCTGTGAGCTCCATCACCATGCCATGCGTGCCATGCCTGGCCATGGTTTGCCATCCATACTAAATATCATACCACGTCATTTCAAAACATGCTGTGTCAAACCATGCCATGCCAAACCATGCAATGCCATGGCATAGTATGGCATACCACACCATGCCAAATCATGCCGTGTAAAAGCATGAGAGATGCCATTCCATGCCATAACATGCCATACCATTCCACCCAATGCCATGCCGTGCCATAACATGCCATGCCATTCCACCCAATGCCATGCCATACATACCATACCATACCATACCATACCACACCATACCATACCATGCCATACCATACCATACCATACCATACCATACCATACCATACCATACCATACCATGCCATGCCATGCCATGCCATGCCATACCAAACCATACCATACCATACCATACCATACCATACCATACCATACCATACCATACCATACCATACCATGCCATGCCATACCATACCATACCATAGTAAAACAAACCATGCTTTAGGGCTTGGAACACCCGGGAAATGCTCCAAACGAACTGTACTGCCTGAACGGATGAAATTTGTCATTTTAATAAACGCTATGCTGAAGAAAGTTCTTCGTTCGTTTCAGAGTGGTACTCTTTCGAACCGTACCATTCATTTGGAAAATATCCCAAATGTTCCACACCTTTACCATACCATGCTGTGTCATACCATGCTGTGACATACCATGCCCTGGCATCCATTCTATCGCGCGCCAGCATGTCATGGGTCCATGCTCATGCTCATGCCCATGCCACCGTCACCGCTTCACCCTTACTCTCCTCCTGCTCCCCACCCCACCCCACCCCACCCCCATGTGCCAGCCGGGCGCCACCATCCAGCTCACAGTGGAGCTGCTCGAGGTCAAGGCCCCTCCCTCATAGCCTCGCTCGCAGCCTTGCACCCTCATACACCCCACCCGCATGCCATGTGCTGCTGTGTGTTTTACAACAAAGAAATGCTAGCGGTGACACATCTGAGTTATTATAGTAGCTTCCAGCAGAGTGTAGTAAGTCGTATGTGTATGTATGTGACGGTGACACCAGTAGCACCTTGAGATATGAGGTGTCCTAAAAGTAAGTGAAACGACCTTTTTTGGTTGGTTAAAGTACAGTTCGGCATGTATACATACTGAAACAACCATTGTGTAGGCAGTAAGTATGCTACCATTGTACAGCCCAAGTTCCTAATAACGCACTAACCGTTTGTGATGCTTCAAGTGCCTCAAGCGTAACTTCGGAATCCGCGAGACTTGTAATCGAAACGCACCGCGCTATGGACGGAAACATCGATCGCGACTGAAGCCAGTTGAAACGGCGCTCGCAGAAACAAACACGACTGTTCAGCATGACGCCATGGCGTCGCCACACACACTGCTAGCTCACACCTCCTCGCCGCGAGCCGCACTCCGATCGAATGCTCCATCGCTCCCATCTGCCGATGCGCCTCGGCTGCCTCCGCGCTTTGCTTCTCGCGCTTCTTCTCCTCCACCCCTCGCCGAACCGGCACATCAGCCCGCCACATGATACGTGCGCGCGCGCGTCACGCGGGTACGGCGTGGCGCGGGTGGGCGCGCTGATTCGCGAGCGGCCGCGGAAGCACCCCGAGATGGAGGACGCTTTCCGACAGCGCGTACGTGGGGGATGGTGATTGGCGGGTGGTGATTGGCGGGTGGTGAAAGGTGGATGTGATGGCCCTGTGGCAAGGAAACGTGCATTGCCTCGCCGCACACCCTTCTACCACCCACACCCGCTCCCCTCCAACCCCTTTCCCCCGTCCTTCCCGTCCTCCCCGCTCGCCTTCCCTACTTCACCGATGGGAATTCGCGCGTCGCCCCGCGCGCAGTCGCCCTCGTGCGCCTTTTGAGTCGACTTCAAACAACCCCTCACAGCGCTCGCCCCTCCCACTTCCCCAACCTTCCCATTCCGTTGACCCCCTCTGTTTCTCCCCTTCACCCGTCCCTCTTCTCCTCTCCCCTGCCTTCTCATCCACCACGCCCCTCCCTTGTCGCCCCCACCCCCCTTGTCGCCCCCACCTGACACCTCCCACAAGAAGCCCGTTCATCCGTGCATGCCCCGTCCCCCCACCACCTCCCCTCCTCCCTCCGCCCAACCCCCCAAACTCGCTCCTTTTGGTAGAGCCATCACAACTTCTTTACTCCCTCACTCCTTCACTCCTCAGTCTCTCACTCCCGCACTCCCTCACTCCCCTCAATGCCTCACTCCCTCACTCTTCGCGCCATCACCTTCAACATCCCACTGCGCTGCTCTCTCACCTCGCCTTGTGCTTTTCAATCCCCGCACTCCTGGCTGCCGCGATTTGAGAAGCACGCTGACATGGCACCTCTGAGGCCACCGCTTGGATCTGATGTGCAGGCGCTGGAAAGTGCAGGCGCTGGAAAGTGCAGGCGCTGGAAAGTGCAGGCGCTGGAAAGTGCACTGCTACCATCATGCCAACCCTCGATGCACTCCTTCTATTCATCATCACTTTCGTGTTGTTTTCCCACTCCCCATACTTTCGGGGCATCTCTCCTGCTCACCTCCCCTGCTCACCTCCACTGCTCAGGTTGAGGATCTGCTGGCGTCATTTGATAGCAGCGCTGACGTGGTGGCGCTGAGTCAGCAGCGCACGGGGTGCTCGTGCTACCACATCCGCAACAACTACTGCTGCTCGCAGAACCTCTGCCTTTGCTCGCCCATGTGCTGGAACGGCCAGCAGGTGGGTGCTGCCCCATGTGCTGGAACGGGCAGCAGGTGGGTTGGGTGGAACCTCTGCTTCTTGTGCTTCTTGGGCGAGAGTGAGCCCATGTGCTGGAACGGGCAAGAGGTGGGGTGGGTGTTTTGCAAGAGGATTGCAACCCACATGTATCTGGATGGCCTCTCCCATCCATATCCTCAAAAACGTAATGTCTCTGCCTCTTCTCGCCCGTGTGCGCCATTCCTTCATGCTGCTCCGCTCCCTCTCTCCAATTCGCCCTGCACACACAACGGCAGATGATCTCGCTGGGGCAGCCACAGTGCGAGGCAGCGAGGGAGCACGCCCCGCCGCCCCCCAACGAGGGCAAGCCCATCCTGCGGGCGGTGGGGTGCCACAAGGCGGTGGAGTTCAGCGAGGCGCTGCGCGTGGTCACAGACGAGGCCGTCAACTCGCTCGTGCACCTCCGGGCTGCTGGGGGAGGCGGGGGAGGAGGGGGGGAAGGAGGGGGGGAAGAGGGGGGAGAGGGGGCGGTGGAGGGGAAGGGGTGGCTGGAGACGCGGCGGCGAGTGGAGTGGCGGTTTGGGCTCACGCTGTTGCAGCGGTTTGACTACCAGGCCGTGAACGTGGCTCACTTCATAGGTGCGTCGCTTGTGTGTGGATTATGCCCGCCCGCCCATGATGCCCGCCCATCATGCCTGCCCATGATGCCCGCCCATCATGCCTGCCCATGATGCCCGCCCATCATGCCTGCCCATGATGCCCGCCCATCATGCCCGCCCATCATGCCCGCCCATCATGATTCCCATCATCTCCGTCTTACAGTTTCCTCTCCCCCTTTCACCCTCTCTCGCCTGTTCGTCACCCCCCTGGGCCTGTTCTCTGTTCCTGCACAACTTCTGCGGCAGCCCCTCATCTTCTGTCCCCTACGCACTGCCCACACATTTCTGCCATACACTTTGGTGCGCACCCTTTCCCACACACCCTTTCCCACACACCCTTTCCTCCATGCTGTCTTCCCATGCTCTCTTCCACGCGCTTGTTCTTTGTGTATCTAGCCAGGCCCCCCAACCTCTCCTCCCCGCTCCTCTCCTCTCCTCTCCTCTCCTCTCCTCTCCTCTCCACCCCCCGGCCACCAGGCAAGGCGTGCACTCTCTTGCCGGCCACCAACGTCACGGACGTACCAGTGCTGCCAGCAGCCCTCTTGTCTTCTGCACTCCCAATCCCCTCTTTCGTCCACCTGTCCCCCCGGCCACCAGGCAAGGCGTTCACGCTGCTGCTGGCCAACAACTTCACAGACCCGCCCGTGCTGCACCCCCTTGTGGCGCGCTTCATGCTGCCGCGCGACGACTTCACGCTCGAACGGTACGCTACCCTGCACGGCACCCGCACAGTGATATCCAGTGTGCACTGCATATCAGTGCTGCATATCAGTCCGCACCGGCACACGGTCCACCCATCGGGGAATGGTGATGCGTGAATCATGTGTGGATTGGGATGATGCCCGAGTGCTGCACGAGCCGCCTTGGAAGGAGTGTACTATGTAGAGCTACATAGAGTGATGCCAGAGTGTTGATCAGAGTGATGCCAGAGTGTTGATCAGAGTGCAATAGCACTGCCAACGAGTTCATCTGAGCCACCGCTGCTTCAGCACCATCCATCCACCTTCTCCTCATTCCACCTTATTCCGTTCTGCCCCCTCACCCTGCAACACGGCAGGTGGCGCATGGGGGGTGGCTACGCCATCCACGCGTTGGTGCTACAGGCGCTCATTGAGTTTGCCCTCACGCCTCTCCTCACGCCACAGATGCACACCTCCTCTCAGCTGTACGTGCTGTTCTTCTGCTTGCCCCCGTCTCAGCCCTTTGCTAAATCGCTCACCTCGCTCCTCGCACCACGGATGTACATCCCGCCACCTCCCTCTCCACGAAGCAGTACTACGGTAAAACGTACAGGCTAAAACTGAAGCAGAATATAAATGAGCTCAAAAGTTAGCTCTGGAGTAGATCAACAACGGATATACAGTAATGAGTCAGGACAGGGCAGTGTTCGTTAGAGCAGCGGAGCACAGTGTGTCAATCCCCTCCTGTCAATTTCCCTAGCTATCCAGTCTACCTCGCCTACAAAAACGGGGTAACTCAGCTTCAAGTGTTTTGCAATTGATGGCAAAATCTCTTACTTGAGATCCTGGCTTTAAGCGGATTTTGCCGCTCAGACCTGCCCGTTTTTGGGTTTCCAGAGCTTCCATAAAGCCTTGCTCTCCTGCCACTCCTCTCACCCACAGCCCCCTCTACCCTCGTTTCCACCCTCTCCTCCCCACCACCCCCTCCTCCCCACCACCCTCTCCTCCCCACCACCCTCTCCTCCCCACCACCCTCTCCTCCCCACCACCCTCTCCTCCCCACCACCCTCTCCTCCCCACCACCCTCTCCTCCCCACCACCCTCTCCTCCCCACCACCCTCTCCTCCCCACCACCCTCTCCTCCCCACCACCCTCTCCTCCCCACCACCCTCTCCTCCCCACCACCCTCTCCTCCCCACCACCCTCTCCTCCCCACCACCCTCTCCTCCCCACCACCCTCTCCTCCCCACCACCCTCTCCTCCCCACCACCCCCACCACCCCCACCACCCCCACCACCCCCACCACCCCCACCACCCCCACCACCCCCACCACCCCCACGGCCCCATGGCAAGGCAGGCACGAGCACCGCACGTTGGGGGACGAGCCCATGGCGAACGGGCTGGTGGAGTTTGAGGGCGCGTGGCGGCGCGCCACGGAGGAGGAGCCGCTGTGCTTCCAGCGGGTGCTGCTGCCGGGGATACTCAAGGTGAGCCCAACGTGCCCCAGGGCTTCAGGTGTCCCTGGTGGATTCTCAGGTGTCCCAATTTAACTCTCAGGTATTCCAGATTTGCTTTCATGTGAGTTGGAATCGGATATCGTCCTCCCCTCTTCCCTCCCTCCCTATCTTCCTCATTCTCTCCATGTCCCATCCTCACCTCCCAACTTCCATGCACGCACATGTCACTGCCGGCACTCCTCTGTGCACCGCGCTCACCCTTCTCTGGTTTCACGTGGCTGTACACTGCGGCCCACATGACTGTTCACTTAGCACCGCACAGCACAGCGCAACACAGCACATCACAGCATAGCCTTCATCGCTTGTTCAGCCAGCCTTCCCATGTGTTCTCCACGTCGCACCAAGTCGCATCAAGCGCAATCAAGCTTCTCCATGTGTTCACCTCCCCTCGCAGCAAGGCTAGTCCGAACCACCTCCCCTCTGCAGCTGGACTAGCCCTGCTGCAGCGCCACCTGCGAAAACAGCTATGTGTGGAGCCTCCTCGTGGGGCACGTGCGGGCTCATTCAGGATACGTGTGCCTCCCTCCCTCCCTGCACGCCCAAGCCCCCTCTCCTCCCCGGTGCTGGCAGGCTACCAGCAGTGCCACAAGCACAGCAACCTGCCTCTCACGTGCCATCCACCCTCCCTCCCAGCAACTTGAGCTTCAATCTCTTTGGGTTCTATCGCCCTCCCTCTATTCTTCCCCACAGAGCCACCTCTGCACTGCAGTGCGTGTGAAGCTTTAGAATTGACTCAGAAGGCCCCTCTTCCCCTCCCCCCAACAGGGCCAGGTGTTCCCCTCGTCACCTGCCCAGGCCGGCTACCTGCAGCGCCACCTGCGGGTGAAGCTGCGCCTGCAGCCGCCCCCCGTGGTGCTGTGGGGGCCGGAGGGCGCGCAGGGGTGGCGGGCGCGCGTGCTGTACATCACCCGCCTGGGGGCGGAGCTCAGGCAGCGCCGCACGTTCGTGCCGGAGAGCCACGAGGCGCTGCTGCGAGTGATGGAGGAGATGAACATGGAGGTGCGAGTTGTAATCCATTGCCTCATGATTCATGACTCATAACTCGCCTGGGGGAGCTCAGTCAGCACCCAGCCATGTGAGGCCCTGCTGCAACTGATGGCAGAGATGCACATGGAGGTGAGCGGGTGATAGGAGATCAACACGCGACAATGAGAATGGGCATGGCGTGTGGCGTTGAGGGTGCATAGAGGGTGGAGTGCACATGTCTTATATGACGTGAGAGGTAGCACAGCCGAACAAAAATGGCGGTTCCTTGTGACCCGAGCCCCGGCGGAGCCAGCACTGGCCTTTGCTGTATCATCACCCTCCCACCTCTGCTGCTCATGTATGCAGTTCCACACAGTGTCCATAATTCGCATGCGTGCTCGTCTGCCCCAACACCCTCCCCTCACACCAGGTGAGCAGGGCGAAGCTGGGCCAGCTGACCTTCCAGCACCACTTTCTGAGGCGTCTTTCTAATATTTCTCTCCATGCGCACCCTCCTCCCTCCCCCCTCCCCCTTCCCCACCTCCCCCATCCCCCGTCCCCTAATCCCTCCCACCAGGTGAGCATGGCGGAGCTGAGCCAGCTGACCTTCAAGCAGCAGTTTGACACCATCCAGTCGGCCGACATCATCCTCTCCCTGCACGGCGCCGCGCTCGCCAACCCGCCGCTCTTTGCACGGCGCACCACGGCAGTGGTGGAGATCATGCCGTACCACGTGCTGCACGAGACCTACTACGCCATGGCTTTAAGTGCCGGCCTCCCCTACTTCATGAAGATGTGCCGCCGAGGAAGCTTCCAGGCAGGGGACCGCGCTGAGGTGGACGGGCTGAGCTTGTACGACTGCACGCACGGGCATCCCGAGTGCAAGGAGTATTTCACGCACCGGCGGCGGGTGGAGCTCACAGAGGAGGATTTGAGCGACCTGAGAGTGATACTTGGCACGGCGAGGGAGGTGGTGGCGGCAGGGCGGGGGGGCATGGGGGAGGTGGTGCGGCCGGAGGAGCTGCCAGGGTGGGCGGAGAGGCGGTTTGGGGAGCGCTGTGTGGCGCGGGATGCCGGGCTGTTCTGCCGGAATGACTTTGTGCGGATAGTGGGCGGCATGGGGGATTTCACGTGTGTGTTTTCAAGGGATTGTGAAGGCCAGGAGCAGCCACAGTGATGGGCAACAAACTTGTGTCATGTCAGGTTGTTCCTATCGATGTGCGGGCAACTGTACAAGCCTATGTGTCCTGTAACTATAACATGCCATTCTTTTTCATAAACACAGATCCACACTGCATGAGCAAAACCTATGTCCAGGGCCTAGAATTGGTTAGAGTATCCTTGATTATCTAGGGGCAGGTTGGCAGAAAAGCGTCGACATTTTGCGTTTACAAAGGCATAAAAACGGAGCATCGCATGCTTGTCAGTTGAGATATACCTTCAATCTATAGGCCACCTCTGGTTGTGGAGTTCTTACCGTACATGAGTGGATTCCCAGGGTCGCTTTAGAATCAATAAACATATATATTATTGTTGGAAACATATAGTTTGCGCTTCTGATGTGTCAAGCACTACAACGCAAGCGAATCGAACTATAGCGAAGTAACAGCGAGTCAACCAAAGCGGTTGACAGAAAGACAATAGCAAGAGGTTAAGTGAAGGTCAAAGGTCAGCGACCTTTGACTCGCCGAAAAGCAGCGCGACAGCAAGGAGACATAACTGAGTCGCTATTGAGCGGTTGTTGGGCTGAGAAAAGCCCTTAGGATCGTTTTCAGGACTAAAGTCTCAGAGTAGTGATGTATTAGCGGAAGCGAATAAGTAAACTGATTGAACCACCTTGCACTGGTGTGTGAGAACAAGATAAGTTGATAATAACAAAGAGATACAAGCTTTTATATGATTACAAAGAATACGAAAGGTTCGACTAACTGTAACTGCTGTTGCTGTTCGATACAGCGACGACTCGGATAACTCGAATATCACGTCAGTTATGTGTCCTTGCTGTCGCGCTGCCTTCGGCGAGTCAAAGGTCGTTGACCTTTGACCTTCACTCAACCTCTTGCTGTTGTCTTTCTGTCAACCGCTTTGGTTGACTCACTGTTGTTTCGCTATAGTTCGCTTCGCTTTCGTTGTAGTATTCGACACATCAGAAGTACGAACTATATGTTTCCAGCACTCCCCTTCACTTCGGGAGTGTCGTCGCATTCGTTGTTGATGACGTGGCCTTGCCCAGTCAGCAGCATGAAGTACTCGAACTTCTACTTTCCGAGTTTCTTGGTCATGTAGTCTGCTGCCATCTCGGACATGGGACAATAGGATAGCTCGAGTCTCTCTTTCTCGATCTCGTCCTTCACAAAGAAATAGCGCAGGGAAATGTGCTTCTTTCGGTTCGCGAACCCACTCTTGTTCGCTATGCGAATTGCATATTAGTTGTCGTAGAAGAGGGAGAAGCTGGGTAACTGTGACAGCTTTGCTTCTTCTAGTAGTTCGCGAAGGTACAGTCCTTCCTTGGTGGCTGAGCAGAGTGCTATGTCAAACATTATATATGTTGTTGTAGTTGTTTAGGCTACAGTGGGTTAGCCTATAGGGGGTACACATTCCTAGGTTTTGATACTTGTACTCATTTTCACTCTTAGTTCATTCATTCTTGTTCAACATGGTATAGAGCAGGTCCTTCCTAGGACCGATTTTTTTTAGGGCCCACCACTACCTACCTACCTACCTGCGCCCTAGGGCGCCTCGGCTTTCACGCCCCTAGAGGCCCCGTCAGCCCCGCGCTCTCGCACCTAGAGGCCTCGGTCGGCCCCGCGCTCGCTTTTAGAGGCCCCGAATCGGCCCCGCGCTTACCCCTAGAGGCCCGCGTCGGCCCCGCGCTCGTCCTTACCGGCCCCGATCGGCCCCGCGCTCGTCCCTCACGGCCCCGATAGGCCCCGCGCTCGCCCTTAGCACCCACGTCGGCCCCGCGCTCGCCCTTAGCACCCACGTCGGCCCCGCGCTCGTCCCTCACGGCCCCACCCGCTCCCCGCGCTCGCCCTTAGCGGCCCCGAACGGCCCCACCCAGACCGAGCAGCCCGAACCGAGCCGACCCGAGCCGCCCAGCCCTAACAGAACCGAGCCGCCCGACCCGAGCCGCCAGCCCTAACCGACCCGAGCCGCCCAAACCGAGCCGCCCGAACCGAGCCGCGCCGCCCGAACCGAGCCGCCCGAACCGAGCCGTGCCGCCCGACCCGAGCCGCCCGAACCGAGCCGCGCCGCCCGACCCGAGCCGCGCCGCCCTACCTATACCGAGCCGCGCCGCCCTACCTGTACCGAGCCGCGCCGCCCTACCTACCCTACTGCTCCTACTGCTTTTCCTACTGCTGCTACCATGGCTAGCCCTCCTGTCCTAGCCTTCGATACTGAGGGCCGCCCAGTGAAGTTCGACACCTGGCTTGATGACCTACACCTCTTCCTACAGCTCACTGCCAAGGAAGACATCTCGCTGTACGATCATGCCTTAGGCCACGCTACTGCTCCTGCTGCTACTGCTGACAGCACTGCCCGCTCACAGTGGCAGACTCGTGACGCCCATACTCGCTTCGCTATTCGCAACTCTCTGCCGATAGATGAGCGCGAGCACTTTGGGCAGCACAAGACTGCACAGGCACTGTACACTGCTGTCGTTGCCCGCTACTCCTCGCCGGCCTCTGCCGCTCTAGGCCGTCTCTCTCTTCCCTACCTGTTCCCCGACCTAGCTTCCTTCCACACTGTCGCTGATCTCATTACCCACCTCCGCACTAGTGAGGCTCGCTTCCGCGCCGCTATGCCGGATGAGTTCCTTGCCAAGAATCCACCCCCGCTCTGGCTCACTCTCTACCACCTAGTCACGCGCCTCCCTGACACTCTGCGCTCAGTCAAGGACCACTTCTTAGCTCGCTGCCCCACCGAGCTCACCATTGCCCTCCTCGAGAAGGAACTGCTTGCAGCTGAGGCTAGCATAGTCGCTGTAGGTGCCTCTCGCGGTGACCCCCGTACCCCGTTCTTTGAGGGGTGTTCTCCCTCCCCCCTTCTTCCCTCTGTCGCCTCTGCTGCTGCTGTCGACCTCCTTGGTGCTGAGAAGGTCGGGACTGCGTCTGCTTCGAGTGGGCGCCGCAGCGGCAAGGGCAAGGGGGGCAAGGGCGGTGGTGGTGACAGCGGGGGTGGCGGTGGTGGGGGAGGTGGTGGTGGCGGGGGGGGTGGCGCGGGTGGGGGAGGTGGCAGCAGTGGGGGGGGTGGTGGCAGCGGCGGGGGAGGTGGCCGGGGCGGAGGAGGTGGTGGGGGTGGCGGTGGACGAGGCAGCGGCCGGGGTTGGGGTGGTCGAGGAGGTGGTAGCGGCGGTGGTGGTCGTGGAGGCGCTGGCGGTGGCCAGGGCCAGCAGCACACTCCGTCGCCCCAGGAGGTCCGTGAGTGGTACTCTCAGCACGGGGGGGGGGGGGGGGGGTGGCCTTAGCTGCACGTACGTCATTCGCACTGGTGACCGCACTGGCCAGCCGTGTGGGGACCGCACGCCACACAGCGTTGCTTCGCTCGTCTGAACGACGCTTGGAGTGTTCAGTTCCCCCAGGCCACTGAGCTGCCCCGCTGGGTTGATCTCCTGAAGAAGGGGATTGATATTTATGCTCTAGACTTTGATGCTATTCTCACTGCCATGTATGTGATGTCTACTAGTAGAGAGGGTGCTGAGTACCTGAGTGTCCCGCCCGACCCGGGCATTAGGACTAGTGCGTCTGCCGCTCCAGGTACTCGCGTGTCCGCTACCCCAGGTGCTGGTGAGGCTGCTGCTCTAGGTGCGTGTACGTCTGCCCCCCCTAGTACTGTGTCGACTGCAGCACTGCACACCTTCACGCTGGATTCAGGTGCCTCTCGCTGTTTCTTTCGTGACCGCACTGCCCTTGAGCCCCTTGCTCGGCCAGTTGCTGTCTCCCTCGCTGACCCCTCTGGGGGTCCGGTCCTTGCGACCTCCTCCACTATCCTTCCCTGTCCTCCGGTCCCGTCGGGCACACTGTGAGGTCTCCACCTCCCCTCGTTCTCTACGAACTTGGTGGCAGGTTGTGCACTACAGGACGCGGGTGTTCACCAGTTCACCCCTGCCTACGAGCGTGTCACACACTGCACGTGTGCCCGTACAGGCCGCCACTTGGCTACCTTCACCCGGCAGCCGGGGTCGGATCTGTACACACTGACTACTGCCCCCCCTCAGGTCGCTGCGTCTGCGTCTGCGTCCGCGTCAGGTTAGCTGTCCGCCCCCTGCTCGTGTCGCTCTCTAGCGCACGAGACTGTCCTCTGGCACCACCGACTGGGCCACCCGTCTGTGCAGCGCCTTCGTGCCATGCACTCCCGGTACCTTGTCTCTGGTCTTCCTAGGGTCCTCCCTCCCCTCCCACCCTCGCCTGCTCCTCCCTGTCTTCCCTGTGTCGAGGGGCGGCAGCGCGCCGCTCCTCACTCCTCCTCGTTTCCCCCGACGACTGCTCCTTTGCAGACGCTCCACATGGACGTGTGGGGCCCAGCCCGCGTCCGTGGTCACGGTCAGGAGAGGTACTTCCTGATCGTTGTTGACGACTACTCGCGCTACACCACGGTCTTCCCCTTGCGAGCCAAGGGTGAGGTCCCTGATGTTTTGATCCCTTGGATCCGCAGAGCTCGTCTCCAGCTCAGCGAGCGTTTCCGCTCGGACTTTCCTGTCCTGCGCTTGTACTCTGACAGAGGTGGTGAGTTCTCCTCCGACCTCTTGGCAGCCTACTGTGCTGAGCACGGCATTGAGCAGTCGTTCACGCTTCCGGCCTCTCCACAGCAGAATGGGGTTGCGGAGCGCCGCATTGGCCTGGTCATGGAGGTCGCTCGTACCTCCTTGATCCATGCGGCTGCCCCCAACTTTCTGTGGCCGTTTGCGGTCCGGTACGCTGCGCATCAGCTCAACCTCTGGCCCCGTGTCTCCTTGCCGGAGACCTCGCCCACACTGCTGTGGACGGGGGAGGTTGGCGATGCATCGCGTTTACGGGTCTGGGGATCTCAAGCTTTTGTCCGCGATTCGTCTGCGGACAAGCTCTCCTCTCGTGCTATTCCCTGCGTCTTCCTCGGCTTTGTTCCGGACGCGCCTGGTTGGCAGTTTTACCACGCCACCTCGCGCCGGGTCTTGCCCTCTCAGGACGTCACTTTTGA